GGTGTACAAGAGTTCCTTTTTCTCCACATTCTTGCCAACACCTGTTGTTTCTTGTGTTTTTTATTTTAGCCATTCTGACAGGTGTGAGGTAATGTCATTAGTTTTGATTTGCATTTCTCTGATGGTGAGTGATGTTGAGCATCTTTTCATGTCTGTTGGCCATCTGTATATCTTTGGAGAAATGTCTGTTCCGGTCTTCTGCCCATTTTTTAATTGGATTATTTGAGGGTTTTGTTTTTTTTTGTGTTGAGTCATATAACTACTTTATATATTTTGGATATTAACCCTTTACTGGATATTTGCATTTGCAAATGCCTTCTCCCCTTAGGTAGATTGTCTTTTAGTTTTGTTGATAGGTTCCTTTGTTATGCAGAAGCTTTTAATTTAGATATAGTCCCCATAGTTTATTTTTGTTTTGCTTTTGTTTCCCTTGCCTCAGGAGGCATTTAGAAAAATATTTATAGCTACTATCAGAGAAATTACTGTGATCTCTTCTAGGATTTTTATGGTTTCAGGTCTCACGTTTAGGTCTTTAACCCAATCCATTTTTAGTTTATTTTTGTGTATGGTGTAATAAAGTAGTCTATTTTCATTCTTTTTTTTTAAGTTTATTTATTTATTTTGAGAGAGAGAGCACGAATAGGGGATGGGCGGAGAGAGTGAGAACCCCAAGCAGGCCGGCCGCACTGTCAGCATGGAGCCTGATGCAGGGCTCAAACACACAAAACTGTGAGATCATGATTTGACCTGAAGTCAGGCACTTAACCAACTGAGCCGTCCAGGCGCCCCTCATTTTCATTCTTTTGCATGTAGCTGTCCAGTTTTCCCAAAACCATTTGTTGAAGAGACTTTTTCCTATTGCATGTTCTTGCCTCCTTTGTTGAAGATTAATTGACTATATAATTGTGGGTTTATTTCTGGGCTTTCTGTTTTATTCTGTTGATCTTTGTGTCTGTTTTTGTGCCAGTACCATGCTGTTTTGATTACTGCAGCTTTGTAGTGTAACTTGAAATCTGGGATTGTGATACCTCCAGTTCTGTTTTTCTTTTTCAAGATTGCTTTGGCTATTCAGGGTCTTTTTTGGTTCTACACAAATTTTAGGATTGTTTGTTTTAGTTCTGTGGAAAAAAACTGTTGGTATTTTGATAAGAATTGCATTAAATCTTTAGATTCCTTTGGGTAGTATGGCCATTTTATTACTATTTGTCCCTGTAATCTATGAGCATGGAGTATCTTTTTGTTTGTGTCGTCTTTAATTTCTTTTTTTTTTTTTAAATGTTTTATTTATTTCTAGGAGAGAGAGAGAGAGAGCGTGAGCAGGGGAGGGTCAGAGAGAGAGGGAGTCACAGACTGAAACAGGCTCCAGGCTCTGAGCTGGCGGTCAGCACAGAGCCCGACGCGGGGCTTGAACCCACGAACCGCGAGATCATGACCTAAGAGAAAGTCAGACGCTTAACCGACTAAGCCACCCAGGCGCCCCATGTGTCGTCTTTAATTTCTTTCATCAGTGTTTTTTTTTAAGTTTATTTAAAAAATTTGGTTTAATGTTATCTTAGAGAACGAGAATGAGCAGGCAGAGGGCAGAGAGAGAGGGGGTCAGAGGACCTGAAGCAGGAGGACCTGTGCTGATAGCACAGAGCCTGATGCAGGGCTCGAACTCATGAATCGAAGACCATGACCTGAGCCAAGTCAGATGCCCAACCAACCGAGCCACCTAGGCGCCCCTTAAGTTTGTTTGTTTGTTTATTTATAGCATGAGCAGGGGAAGGGCAGAGAGAGAGAGAGAATGAGAGAGAATCCCAAGCAGCCTCTGCACTGTCAGCACAGAGCCTGATGCATGGCTCGAACTCACAAACTGTGAGATCATGACCTGAACCGAAACCAAGAGTCAAATGCTTAACCTTAACCAACGGAACCACCCAGGTGCCCCCAACAGTGTTTTATAATTTTGAGAGTATAGGTCTTTCACCTCCTTGGTTGCTTATTCTTAGGTATTTTATTATTTTCGGTGCAGTTGTAAATGGGATTGCTTTCTTAATTTCTCTCTCTGCTGCTTCGCTATTAGTGTATAGAAATGCAACAGATTTTGCACGTTGATTTTGTATCATGTACATTGATTTTGTATCCTATAACCTTACTGAAATCATTTATCAGTTGTAGTAGTTTTTTGGTGGAGTTTTTGGGATTTTCTATATATAGTATCATGTCATCGGCACATAGTGCAAGTTTTAGTTCTTCTTTATCAATTTGGATGTCTTTATTCTTTTTTCTTTTTTTCTTTCTTTTTTTTGGTTTGATTGTTGAAGCTAGGATTTCCAGTACTGTGTTGAATAAAAGTGGTGAGAGTGGACACTTGCCTTGTTCCTGACCTTAGGAGAAAAGCTGTCAGTTTTTCACCATTGAGCATGATGTTAGCTGTGGGTTTTTCATATGGCCTTTATTATGTTTTGTTCCCTCTAAATCTGCTTCTCTGAGAGTTTTTGTAATGAATAGATGTGGTACTTTGTCAAATGCTTTTTCTGCATTTATTGAAATATGACTTTGTTTTAAAGTTTATTTTGAGAGAGACAGCATGAGCAGGAGAAGGGAAGAGAAAGAAGGAGAGAGAGAGAATTCCAAGCAGGCTCTGCACTGTCAGAGCAGAGTCCAACGCAGGGCTTTGAACTCACAAACCACAAGATCGTGACCTGAGCTGAAATCAAGTCGGATGCTTAACTGACTAAGCGACCCAGGCACCCCACTGAAATGATCATATGGTTTTATTCTTTCTCTTATTGATGTGATATATATACATATATATATCACATTGATCGATTTGTGAATATTGAACCACTCTTGTATCCCAAGAATAAATCCCACTTGATTGTGCTGAATGATTTTTTTAATGTATTGTTGGATTTGGTTTGCTAATATTTTGTTGAGGATTTCTGCATCTGTGTTCATCAGAGATATTGGTCTGTAGTTGTCTGCTTTTGTAGTGCCTTTATCTGGTTTTGATAACAGAGTAATGCTGCCCTCATAAGATGAACTTGGAAGTTTTTGTTTCTCTTCTATTTTTTGGGAATAATTTGAGAGGAATAGGTATTAACTCTCCTTTAAATGTTTGCCAGAATTCACCTGTGAAGCCATCTGTTTCTGGACTTTTGTTTGTTGAGAGTTTTTTGATTACTGATTTAACTTCATTGCTGGTAATCCATCTGTTCAAATTTTGTTTCTTCCTGATTCAGTTTTGGGAGGTAATATGTTTCTAGTATTTATCCATTTCTTCTAGGTTGTCCGATTTGTTGGCCTATACTTTTTCATAATAATCTTACAATCCTTTATATTTCTGTGGGGTAAGACTTGGCATTCTTGTAAGTCATTTAAGTAACTATGTATTATTAGTCTGTTTTTTTCCCCATAAGCTCTAAGCTTTACCAGGGCAGAAACAGTCTGTTTTTGTTTTGTTCATCAGTATATTCCCAGTGCCTTAGCACATAGGTGTTAAAATACTTGTTGGCATACTATCACACCTAATTTCTCATATCTAGGATGTGTCTCATAAAATTTAGAGAGCCATGTGCCTACTTGGGCTTCCTCATAGCATGGTGGCCAGGTTCCAAGAATGAGCATTCCAAGAAAGCAAGACACAAGTGCATGGCAGTTTTATGACCTAGTTTTGGAAACCATGTAGTGTTACTTCTATCATATTTTATTGGTCAATCACAAAAATCTTCCCAAGTTCAAGGTGAGGGAATATGGCCTTCAGAATTTGAGAGGAGGAGTGGCCACCTCAGTTTCTACAAATTCTAGTCTCCATATATTTAATCAACAATGCAGTGCAGGTGATTCTGGGAAGAAAGCCAGGGTCATCATAGGGCTCACCTCATTTGTTTTACTTCTCTCAGGGCTCACAGTCCAATGCAATACCTGTTGTCCACCGTCTAAAATCACCTGTCTCATGTATCTTACCCAGTTTTCTTGTTTTGTATAGTGGAAGGGAAAGTTCCACACCAGTATTGCAAGTCAAAGTGAGTCTTATACCAAGGATTTCTTTATGTTTTCATCCACTTAAAGTATATTTTAGTTTCCAAATGTAAAAATGAAGTCATCTTTGGGCTAGAATTAATAATTTGGGTTCAAGTTTCAGACCTGTTTCCAACTTGCAGCATGAATGTTGGCAAAACCTATTTCTTCTTTGGTTTTCACGCCAAACTGAATTGAATATATATCCCTGTCCTCAGGGTTACTTCTCAGGCATTTCATGACAAGCAAGTGGAAACAAAACCAAATCACACTAAATAAAGCTGAGGTTATATTTATAGTTAGTTGACAAAACTTAGTTCCCAAATCTCTGTGGTACACGTTCTGGCTGAATGTGTGTAAGACTGGCTGTTTCATAGTAATAACCAACTAGTATGAGCTGCAGGAACTGTGTGTAAGCCTTTTATGTGAATTATTCGACAAATCCTCATAACAGCCTATGGAATAGGTACTTTACTGTCCCCATTTCACACATGAGAATGAGACTAGATTAAGCAATTTGCAGAACGTCACACAGTTACTAAGTAGCAGTGGCAGAATTGGGATGGATTTGAACCCAAGCTGTGTGACTGTGGAGCCACGCTCTTAACCAGATGTGACTATTTGAAAACCACTTAAAAACGCGTCAACTGCTGCTGCTGTAGAATCATTAATTGTCTTTAAATATGAGAGTATCCCTGAAACTCTTTCAACAAATCCTACTTGTTTAGTCAGCCTGACTGATTTCCATGGGGAAGCAGAAAGATTGGGCCATAGTTGGAATATGTGCTTTCCCGAGAGAAATATCAGTCTGGCGGGAGATGGTAGATGATGATGTGCAGCAAAAGTACGTAGAGAAGGGGTGGGGTGGGACAAGAGGGTCCAGATGGTTCTGTGGGGATCACTGTTCAGTCTGTCCTGTCTGGCAGGACAGATGTCAAATATCAAACCTATTTGATATTAATAGGTTTTATTATTCTTTTTCTCCCTCTTCTCAGACACATTTAATGAAGCCAAACACCAAAATGCTAACACATTTTCCGGGAGAAAAAAAGGCTAAGATTTCCTTTACTCAAAAAATTCCACCTGCAGGCATTCGGCAGACGAGCATCGCTTCCTTCTTCGCCTTGCAGCCAGGTATGGTGGCCCGCCTGGGGATCCCCAGGGAGCAAAAAGGAACATGTGCATGTTCCTACGCTGGCCGGTTATGAGAATTGGGGACACCAGCGCATCGTGTTAAACTTAGCGGACTTATCAGAAGAGGTTGTGTTATAAAACACAACAAAACCTCCCCTTTGGCAAAGCAATATGTACATACTTTTACCAACATTTTCTCATTCCAGCTTATTCAGTCTAGTATTAAATATTTGTATTTCCTGGCAGAGCAGTGAGGAGAAGGGTGTAATTTGGGAGTTGGGGTGTGCAGGTGAGCCGACCTGCCAATTAGTTAGGTCTTGGATTGGCCACAGTGAACAGTCTGTGTAAGACTATTTAATAATATTTCTGTATAAAGCTTCTCAAATTAGTCAAAACATGATTTTTTGTTAGAAAGGCTGGCATACAGTGTGTCATCATCCTTTGGCAGTTCTTTGCTTACATGTCCCTTTTCAGAAGATGAGCTGCCTCAGAGCAGGCTGGGGCTTACAGAGCAGGGTATCTACCAGGTAGAGGGTGCTGGGAGAGCTCTAACTCTTCTGATTCCCAGGATTGCATTGCATAAACCTTTTTTTTTTTTTTAATTTTTTTAAATTTCTGAGAGAGAGAGAGACAGACAGACAGACTGCATGAGCAGGGGAGGGTCAGAGAGAGAGGGAGACAACAGAATCTGAAACAGGCTCCAGGCTCTGAGCTGACAGCACAGAGCCCGATGTGGGGCTTGAACCCACAAACCGTGAGATCATGACCTGAACCGAAGTTGGATGCCCAACCAACTGAGCCACCCAGGTTCCCCTGCATTGCATAAATCTTAAATTCACTCTTCCTGCCCCAAACAGTAACTTAAAATAAGCAACTTTTTGCTTTAAGTAACAAGGGCTGAGTTTTTCCTATTTCAAAATGCTGGTATGTTCTATAATCTATTGAATTCGTAGGCAAACTTGAGAAATCTTTCACAAAACATGGTTTCTGCAGTATAATTCCTGTTGGAAAAGGAAAGAGGAAATCGTTCAGCTTTGTTTGTAATTAGATCTTGGTATAATGGGGCATGGGGAATTCCGTGTAATTCACCAAGGCAGTACAGGATCCATTCCATGCCTGATCAGATGGTCAGGCTGGATAGGCTGGATGTTAGTAGTTTCTTTTTATTGTCCTTCCTGCTGGTTGACTTAGCATCCTAATGGTCTTTACTCCCTCTCCCATGAAATGTTTGCACAGTGGGGCACTTGATGTTCTTTGCACTGTCACCAGAGGGTTTCTTAGAGTTCGACGGTTAACGTGATCTTTATGATCTTACAAAATTGAGTTTCACATACTTCTCAAAGGACGATATTGAGGAATACATATTTAGCCACAATCACTATTTAGCAGAAACCATGTTAAATAAAAAACAAAAGCCAAACTGATGTGCCCTTTTTAACAAACCCCACACAGCCAGAAAAGTAGGCTGTGTGGTCTGAGTATACCTACCATGTTTGATCCTATTAGGTAGATCACTGGAAGCATTCATATATAGGAGTGGCAGAATATGAGGCCTGTGTTTTAGAAAGATCATTTTGGAGAATGTAGAAATCAAAAGGAAGATCAGCTATAAAGTTGTGTGACAAGTCGAAGACCCCTGCATTAGGTAATGATAGCTGATACGGATTTCAGAAAAAGCCTGCTAAATCCTGCTCAGGGCAGAGTTTTCCTGCAGAATAATATTTGTTCATGTCTGTTTTACTAGGAAGGACAATTGGTGGTGGCCAGAGGAATGTTTCTTCTCCTTTAGAAAGTCAGACCAACAGAGAGTCTAAGAAAGATGTAACCAAGCTAGACCATCTGATCCAGGGCCTAGGGGGTGATTGCCTCGCAACCCCGTTAGCCACTTCAACCCCTGCAGACACCCAGGAAGCTGGACTTTCTCCACAGTCCCTCCACGCTTCTGGCCCCCACAGAACGGGAACGCCATTTTTGACTGTGCTGTCTTTGCTCCAGCCTGACCCCTTAGTCTGTGCTGGGAAGAGTAAAGCCTCTCCGTCTCGTTCCTTCACCAAGAACTTGGAAGGTTCTTGCTCGCTGGACCAAAAGGAGAAAGAGAGAGATTCTTCCTGGAAAAGGGAATCGCGTCATGGATCTAAGAAAAAGAGCTATCAGGGTGTGGAGAGACACATTAAACCACCTGGGGGCAAGCGCCAGCCTTTGGACAAGACTAAGTCAGAAAAGGTGTCTCCCAAAGAAACCAGACAGGCGCCCGTCCTCCTTCACACATACAGGGATTCCAGGAACGGGGAAAACACGGACTCAGTGAAACAAAGCCCTTGTCCTGTCCCTGTATTTTCTTGGGACAGTGAAAAGAATGACAAGGACTCTTGGAGTCAGCTTTTTACCGAGGATTCTCAGGGCCAGCGGGTCATTGCCCACAACTCTAGAGCTCCTTTCCGAGACGTAACCAACAACCAGAATCGGGGCTTAGGGCAGTTTCGTGGCAGCCCCCGGGCTCAGTGCCAGGAGACGCCCACTCAGTTAAATCTGCAGCCTGATTTGCTCTTTACCCAGGACTCTGAGGGTAATCAAGTTATCAGGCACCAAGTCTAAATGTCTTTAAGACGGTTTGGTTCTAAAAGTATCTCAAAATGACATAGCTGTAGGCAAATTTTGGGGTGGGGAGCTTGGGAGTGTGGGCGGGAAGGAGGCAAGAGATGGAATTATTATTTTCGTGGTATAAATAAGCAAGTGGGGCCACTTGTTGAGATGGTATGATGGTGCCTTTCCCTGAGGAAGAGGTGGCTGGTAAACTTGTGCAAGTCTGTGATGAACAGTGAGGAGGCAGCGCAGGTACTTACCATCCACTAGAGTCCCTCCTCAGCCCGGAGCCACCTCTGTGCCTTCAGATGCCTGATGCAACGCGGCTTCTCATGGATGTGTGTTCTAATCTGTGTTAGCTTGCCCGCTCAACCTTGGGACCGTTATTCCAGACACCTTTCTGAGGTGATAAGGCAAAGCTCCTCAACCCAGATGTATGGGGGCAGAGAGGATAGATTTTTAAAAAACCCACCATCATTCTGCTTTCTGCTTATTTTTGTGGGGGTTTTATAGCATTTTAACATCTTCTGCTGTTTAAACATCTCCCTAAAAAGCCGGAGTTATGTAACAATCCAGATGTGATTAAACCACTCTTCTACAAGGGATGAGAACACCCTTTGTAAAAACTGTGAATCCAAATAAATGACTTTATAAGCGGACTCTGCTGGTAATTAAAACATTACCATTTTATTTCTAGAAAAGCAACTTTTTAATAGTATATGCTCGGTCACTGCCAGGGTCCCACCCAACACCTGCGTTTTAGTCAAGATGTTACCCACCAGGTGGAAGTCTCCCATGTTGCAGGTGTGCTACCTTAAGAGGCTTAAACAGCCTCTAGGGGGCAAGTGTGCAAGTTATAAGATGGAACTGCTTTTAAGAGTTTGGGTAAAATCCCTACAGAAGGAGTCATGAGGCTCCTTACAGAAGTTTTCTTTTATATAGGCAGGACTTTATGAGAAAAGAGGGGAAGCCACTTTTTATGAAAGTTCACATACCTTAAAATTAATAGGAATCATATACCCATGCAGATACAAGGTGGTCACAGCTCCGAGACAGACAGCAGATACAGTATCTCTCCATATCCTTCATTTAATGTCAGGTAGTGCTTCAACCCAAACACACACAGGATACATACCGTAGAGAAAGGGACCTGAGGGCGTCTGAGTCATGCATGGTGTGGTAGGTACAAACCTTGGCCCAACGCAAAGGAGCAGTCACGGGCCTGGAAGAAAGATGGTACTCTTTTCTCCTCCCCATTTCTCTTTCCTATTAGTCCATGGAAGAGAAAGCGTTTTCAATCAGTGGAAGCCCTGAGGGCCCAGGGCCTAGGAGGGTAGATCTGGCTGTAGAGTATTACAAAATATATTTAAGAAAAAAGCAGCCCAGGCCTCCCAGCAGCAGCCCAAGTGTCAGCTGGTCCAGAGGTGTGACCTCTATGTCTAGGTGTTGGAAGGGGGAGAGGGTGATTGCTGGGCACTGGTGTCCGGTTATGATGGAGCAGCATAAGATTTTCCTTGCCCTGTCGACACATACAAACACAGCCCCCCTCCCCTCAGCCCTGCTCTGCTGGAAGGAAGCCGCTGAGAGTGATAGCTGGGTACAAAGTGTCCAGTGAGACCAGTTATGGGGTCTAATGCAGTGAAGTAAGCCATTCATTTAGAAGTGATTTTCACACAGAGGCAGGAAAAGCCAAACTTCTATCTCATCCTTTAGACGGAAACATTCCAACCTATACATTTATCTGTAACAAGTGTCTCAGTGCAAAACACGCCTTAGCGTCTGCTAAGGTTTGAAGCAAAGGAAGCGTAATCCAACTTTTCCCTTTCAGTCGGAGCTCTAGCTTCCCACAAGACCTCTGCAAAGAGATTTCTAACTGTGAGGCAGAAAGGTCTGTGGTGAGGAAGGCAGCTATTGAAGGAATTCCAGGAGCATGAGACTGGATGTGCAGAGCTGAGTTCTGTCAGTTTCCTTTTCTACTAAGATCTTCTTCCTTCAGAGCAAACTTCCTCCTCAGGACCTCAGAGATCAGGACGGCAGGGTCTTCCTCCTTTAGTAAACTCCGGTTCCTGCAGACAAAGTCATAACTTATGTTAAGTACTTGCTCTGTCTCAGGCAGTGTTCTGTGTCTTTGATACATTATCTCATTCGGTCCTCAAAATAATCTTACAAAGTTGGTGCTATGATAACCCTTTTTTTCAGATGTGGAAACTGAAGCACAGAAGGATTATTTCCTGAAATGGCTACAGAATGTGGGCAAAGTAAAGGACTATCAACCTGGTAGAGCTGGTCTGTGGTCACTAAGCTGCTGTTCCCACCTTTCGGTGCTATCTTTTCTTAGTAGCATTTCTGTAGGGGAAGGGGCTCTTGACTCTTGGCTATTCTGACCTTTATTAAGTTGTGTGGGAAAGGTGTGCTGAGGATTTCCTACTACCCTGTCTGTCCATCAGGGGAGCTCTTAGATTTTGTTTTTTAATTGGAAAGAACACTTAACAAGAGATCCATGCTCTTAACAAATTTCTAAGTGTATTTAATACATTGTCAACTACAGGTACTATCTTTTTAAATTAATTTATTGAGTGCATGTGAGCAGGGGGGCGAATCTTAAGCAGGCTCCATGCTCAGCACGGACCTTGATGCAAGGCTTGATCCCCTCACCCTGGGATCAAGACCTGAGCTGAAATCAAGAGTCAGAGGCTCGACTGAGCTGCCCAGGCACCCCGCAATCTTCTTTCTTAATTAAAAAGTTTTTAGCTTTTAGTCAATTTTTTTTTTAACCTTTTGACACCTTTCACCTATTTCTCCCATCTGCACTCCAGTCTCTGGCAGGCACCAGTCTTTTCTTTGTATCTACAGGCCTGTTTTTTGTTTTTAAAATTTAGACTCACATATAAGCTATCATACAGTATTCTTCTGTCTGGTTTGTTTCACTTAGCATGATGACCTTGAGGCATCATAGTGTTGGATATGGCAAGGTTTCACTTTTTTAACCGCTGAATAATATTCCACTGTGTATCTCTACAACAATCCCTTTATCCACTCATCCACTTAGGCTGTTTCCCTACTTGGCTATTGTAAATAATGCTGCAGTGAATATGGGGGTGCATAGATCTTGAGTTAATGTTTTTGTTTTCTGATAATACCAGAAGTAGAACTGCTGGATTATATGGTAGTTCTATTTAATTTTCTGAGGAACCTCCATACTGGTTTCCATAGTGTATGTACCAGTTTACATTCTTACCCAGTTACAAGGGTTCCCTTTTCTCCACATCCTTACATACACTGATTTTTTTTTTTTTTTATAATGGCCATTCTAACCAGAATGAAGTAAATTGTGGTTCTGATTTGCATTCCTCTGAGGATTAGTGATGTTGAGCATCTTTTCATGTACCTCTTGGTCACTTGTATGTTTCTTTGGAAAAATGTCTACTCAAGTCCTCTGTCATTCAGTAAAGTAAGTTCTGTACTCATTCAGTAAAGTAAGTAATTTCTATACCCAACCTGGGGCTTGAAGTCACAATCCACTGAGCCAGCCAGGCATCCCCTCTGCCCATTTTTTAATCAGACTGGGTTTTTGGTCTTTTTGTTTTTTTGTCATTGAGTTGTAGGAGTTCTTCGTATATTTTGGATATTAACCCTTATTGGATATATGACTTGCAAATATCTTCTCACATTCAACAGTCTGCCCTTTCATTTTGCTAATGGTTTCCTTTGTTGTGCAGAAGGTCTTTTGATACAGTCACATTTTGTTTATTTTTGCTTTTACTTTTGGTGTCCAGTTGAAAAGATCATTGCCATAACCTATGTCCACATGCCTGTTTTCTTCTAGTTTTATGGTTTCAGGTCTTACATTCAAGTTTTTAATATGTTTTGAGTTAATTTTTGCATGTGGTGTTAGGTAGTGGTTGAGTTCCATTCATTTGTGTGTGGCTATCCAGTTTTCCCCACACTGTTTATGGAAGATACTGTCTTTCCCCCACTGTATGTTCCTGACTCCTTTGTTATAACTTGACCATATATGTGGGAGTTTATTTATGGGCTCTGTTCTTCTCCACTGATCTGTTTCTGTTTTTATGCTAATACCATACTGTTTTAATTATTATAGCTTTATAATAGAGTTTGAAATCAGGGAGTGTGATGCCTTCAGCAGCTTCTTTTCAAGACTGCTTTGGCTATTTGGGGTCTTTGGGGTTCCAAATCAAATTTTAGGATTCTTTGTTCTAGTTCTGTGAAGAATGCCATTAGAGTTTTGATAGCAACTGCACTGAATCTGTAGACTGCTTTGGGTAGTATGGATATTTTAGCAGTATTAATTCTCCCAATATCTATACTTGTGTCTAATTTCTTTCCTTGATGTTTTGTAGTTTTCAGTATCCAGCTTTCACCTCCTTGGTTAAATTTAATCCTAGGTATTCTGTTCTTTTGATACAACTGTAAATGGGATTGTTTTTTAAATTTCTCTGTTAGAGAAATAACAGATTTTTACTTACTGATTTTTGTATCCTACATTACTGAATTACTTCTAACCATTTTTTAAAATTTTTAAAGAAATGTTTTATTTTTGAGAGAGGGACAGACAGAATAAAGGTGGGGGAGGGGCAGAGATAGAGGGACACACAGAATCTGAAGCAGACTCCAGGCTCTGAGCTGTTAGCACAGAGCCTGATGCGGGGATTGAACTCAGAAACCACGAGATCATGACCTGAGCTGAAGTTGGATGCATAGCCGACTGAGCCACCCATGTGCCCCTCTTCTAACCATTTTTTGGGGGTCTTGAAGGTATTGTGTATTACCTGCAAATAGTGACAGTTTTATTTCTTCCTTTCCAGTTTGGATACATTTTCTTTTTCTCACCTAATTGCTCTGACTAGGACAAAGTGGTGAATTGGCATCTTTTTTTTTGTTCTCAGAGGAAAAGCTTTCAGCTTTTACTGTTCGGTGTGATGTTAGCTGAGGGCTGGTCATTTCTGGCCTTTATTTAAATGTTGAGATATGTTCCTTCTATACCTGTTTTATTGAGTTTTTATCACAACTGGATGTTGAAATTTTGTTAGTCTTTCTGCATCTAGTGAGATGAACATAGGACTTTTATCCTTTGTTTTCTTAATGTGGTATATCACATTGATGGGCGGATATTAGACTACCCTTGCATGCCTTGAATAAACCCCACTTGATCATGGTGTATGATCCTTTTAAGGTATTGTTGAATTAAGTTTGCTAATATTTTGTTGAGGACTTTTGCATCTGTGTTCACCAGGGATACTGACTAGTTTTATTTTCTTCTGGTGTCCTTGTATGGTTTTGGTGTGAGGATAATGCTGCCTTGTAAAATGAGTTTGAAAGAGTTCCCTCCTCTTCTGTTTTTTGGAAGAGTTTGAGAATTGATATTCGTCTTTGAATGTTTGGTAGAATTCACCCAGTGAAGTCATCTGGTCTTAAATTTTTTTGATTGAGAGGTTTCTGATTACTGGTTTAATCTTCTTACTAGCAATCAATCTGTTCTTTCTTCATGATTTAGTCTTGGTAGATTGTAGGTTTCTAGGATTTATCCAGTTCTTCTAGGTTGTGTTGGTATATAATTTTTCATTGTAGTCTCTTACCCTTTGTATATCTGTGGTATTAGTTGTAATCTTTTATTTCCGATTTTCAGTCCTCTTGGTGATTCTAGCTAGAGGTTTGTCTATTTTATCTTTTCAAAGAATAACCTCTTTCATCTTTTCTATTGGTTTTTAGTTTCTCTCACTTATTTCTCCTCTAATCTTTGTTATTTCCTTCCTTCTACTAACTTTGGGTTTCATTTGCTCTTTTTTCTGGTTCCTTAAGGTACAAAGTTATTTGAGTTTTATTTTTTGAAATAGGCACTTAATGCTGTGAACTTCGTTAGAATTGCTTTGGTGCATCCCATAAATTTTGGTGGATTTCCATTTTGTGTCAAGGTTTTTTTTTGTTTTTTTTTAATGTCTCTTTTGGTTTCTACTTTGATTCCCAAGTTGTTCAGTAGATGTTTGATCTCCACATATTTGTGAATTTTCTACTTTTCTTTGTGTAACTGATTTCTAGGGGGGTTTTTGATGTAAAAAACATGATTTTATGAAAGCATAGGGACAGAACCCATGGGCAGAAAGAGCTGCCACTACTGATTTCTAGTTTATTACTCTAGTTGGAAAAGATGCTTAATAGGATTTCAGTCCTATTACTCAGATTTGTGGCCTACTATACAATCTATCCTGGAAAATGTTCCATGTACACATGAGAATCTACCTTTTGTTTCTTTTGGATGGAATGTTCTGTATGTATCTGTTAAGTCTCTCTGGTCTAACATCATATAAGCCTGATGTTTTCTTATTTCTGTCTGGATGATCTATCCATTGATGCAACTTGGGCATTAAAGTCCCCTGCTATTACTGTATGGCTATCTCCCTTCATGTTTGTTGATATTTGCTTTATATATACATGCTCTTATATTGGGTTCATAAATATCTACAAATATTATATCCTGTTGGATTGACCCCTTTATCATTGTATAACCCCCTTTGTTTCTTACTACAGTCTTTGTTTTGAAGTTGATTTTTTTCTAAGTTATAGCTACACTAGCTTTCATTTGGTTTCTATTTGTATGGAATATCCTTTTCTTTTTCTTTTTTTCTTTTTATTTTTTTTTCTAGGAGAGAGAGAGAGAG